GACACAGTTCCAAAGCCTGGACTGTGTCTGATTCACAGGCATGTTCCCGGCATTGGGCCTGCAACACAGTGAGAACTCAATAAATGCATTTAGAAAAAGCACTGGACACACTGTCATCCTTCTGCACTGACCTAAGGATTTGTCAAATGAAGTCAGATTCACTCTGCCCTCAAAGGGTCCAAATTTGTCATAACCCACCCCAAAGTCAGGAACCAGATTAGATGTGTGGGTGGTCAGGGTGGGGCTGGGAACTTCTCCCTGCAGCAGGTTTTGGTGTAGTGGATGAAACAAGGTTCCACAGCCTCTTCCTGCTGCTTCCCCTGAGGTTGTGGATCTGGTGGTGATTCATGTTGGGTCCATTGTAATCCATGCTCTCTTTGAATAAATGTGAATGGGAGGGAGCTGCCCAGCCTGGGAATGTGTTCTCAGCACCCCCTTGCATCCCTGCTGGCCACATATCTAGTTCTGTCCAATAAAATATGGGCAGAAGGGAACTTTGTAGGTCACTTCTAGATCAAGTTTTTAAAGAAGTTGGTGAGTCTTCCACACCCCATCTCCTTCCATTTGCCAGGAGGAAGCAGATCATTCTGAGCCCCATAAAATAATGGAGGCACAAAATGAACAAGTCTGGTGTATGAGTCACCAGATGGCGGACAGCTGCCAACCAAGCAGGACATCTGTGGTGAGAAATAAACTATCGTATGATATCACTGAAATCCAGGGGCTTATTTGTTACAGCAGCTAGAATTACACTCACTGATATACTAACTTTGCCTCTGTGGGCCCCTGATATCTGTAAAGCTTGAGCACTAGTCATTCTGTAAAACAAGCCTCTAACTTTACACTGTGGGGGTCAGGTTTTTACATGGCAGGTCTACACAGTGACCCAAAGTCTCTGTTTGCTATTTAAAGTTGTCAGTATGTTTCCCTTCATTCTTTGCACAAATGTAAACTTCCCCCATATTTTTATGGAAGTCTTATTTCATGTTGACAGCTGGAAGTCCTTAAACCAGACGCTGAAAGTTGTGGTAGGTCTTCCACTGTAGTTAAGCAGAACCTCATGCACAGGGTCTTATGGTTGTCCTGGAGAAGTTGGTGCTGGCCTAGGACCCATCAGTCTGATTTAAGGTGGTTAGTGAGTGTGTATGGGGAGGAGGTGGGGAAGGGGGAGAGTGTCCTAATCTTCCTGCTTCTCTCTTTTGACTCCTATGTATGGGGGTGCACCTTCGAGCCTGATTTTTATTTTTTATTGTTTTAGAGAGAAAGAAAGGGGGGGAGAGAGAGGGAGAAATCAATTGTTTGTTTCATTTATTTATGCATCCATTGATTGATTCTAATATGTGTCCTGACTGGGGATTGAACCCACAACCTTGGTGTATCAGGATGACTGAGCTACCTGGCCTGGGCCAGGCTTGATCTTTAAAGTGAGTCCCTAGTTCTCAGTACTGATTCATGTGCTAATTACACAGCTGAGCTAATTCCAGTGAACCCCACTGGCTGGACTGGAGTTGGTGGGTGCTAGTCGAGGATAAAGAGACACCACCTCTGCCCAGCCGGTATGGCTCAGTGGTTGAGCATCGACCCGTGCACCAAGAAATCGCCGGTTCCATTCCCAGTCAGGGCACATGCCCAGGTTGTGGGCCCGATCCCCAGTGCAGGGCATGCAGGAGGAGGCCAGTCGATGTTCTCTCTCATCGTTGTTTCTAGCTCTCTCTTTCCCTTACACTCTCTAAAATGAATAAAAATAAAAAAAAAAAAAGAACACCACCTCCATCTCTTCTTGCTCTGATATCCCCTGACTTGAAAAGGGCCTAAGTTTGTTTATTCAAAAAGTGACCTTTTTTAGGCAGACAGACTGACTTCATTAATTTGAGTGTACTTGCGCACACATGTGCATGTGTGTATGTGTGTACCAATCCCTTGTAACTATTTGATGTGACTAAATACAGGGCTGGGCAAAGTAGGTTCACAGTTTGGATGGAAAATAATACAATCATTAGTAGTAATAATACGAAAATAAACTGTGTTCCACGTATTCACAACTGTAAACCTGCATTTCTGAGGGACCTAGGAGGTAAGAGGACTGCTAGTGTCCATGCCAGAGTCTGCTCACATACACAGATACAAACGGGGAACACACCCATGCTCACACACTCACGCCAAGTACTCAGAGGCTCACCAGAACACACATGGACACAGCAGGCACATGGAATAAACATGCAGCTGGACTCATGTTCAGATTCAGGAGACATACATAGGTGCACACTTAGAAACACACACCTCTCATCCTGGCCGGTTTGGCTCAGCGGTTAGAGTGTCGGCCTGTGGACCAGAGAGTCCCAGGTCTGGTTCCTGCTAAGGGCACGTACCTGGGTTGCAGTTTATCCCCGGCCCCAGTTGGGGTCGTGTGGGTGGCAGCCGGTCGATGTGTCTCTCTCACATTGATGTTTCTCTCTCTCTCTTCCCCCCTCTCTCCCTTCTGCTCTATCTGAAGATAAATGCAAAAATGTTTTCAGGTGAGGATAAAAAATAAAAAAAAACACACAGACTCACAGACATGTGATTCACACGTTTGCAAGAAAGATTCTGTCTGCACATGTACCCTCTCACATGTCTGTACCCCTCTCAAGGGACCAGATTTTGGCATAACTATGGTGGACAGTCCATGCACATTGCAGATGTCCCTGGTTTAGCCCAGTGGTTCTCAAAGTGTGGTCCCTGGACCAGCAGCATTAGCATCGCTTGGGAATTTGTTAGAAATGCAAATATTTGGGCCCCACCTCCCTATTGGAATCAGAAACTCTAGGGTTGGGGCATGTAGGTCTATGGCTAACAAGTCCTCCAAGTGGCCCTGATGCAGCCAATGTGTGAGGATCACTGGTCCCACTCCCACAAGACGTCCCTCCCTGCTTTTCTGCCTCAAATTGATTGTCCCCCCAAATCATCACCCAAGGGGGGTAAGAATGGATAGATAAATGCCCCAGCCTCTCTGAACCTTGCAGGGGGGTAGAGGGAAAATGACAATTCTGGTATGTTCTACACGGTTCCTTAATGTTCCCCAGAAGAACTGAGCTCTAGTTGCCCAGAGAGGTAACCTGCTTTTCATCTCCATCTTCTATTTACTTTCTTCCTCCTCTGTTTCACTCTGCCCCCTCCCTTGCCCATTTCCTGGGATCACCCGGCAAGTAAATCAGTTCCACTGAATTATAATCCCAGAATGCTCATGGGATTATCTTTAGGTGTTTCCCTCTGTCTCCCCCCACCGCCACCACTTCTGTAGCATCCCTGAAACTTCTGTCCTTTTTCTGAGTGTTTGCATAACTGGTGTCCACTGTGCTGGGCCAGGAGCACTGATGAACTTTGCTAATGATCTGGAAAGGCGGGCCCTAGCGCTGAGTTCATTTTAGCTGCAATTTTTTTAATACACATAAGTGGAAGAAGCCAAAAATCTGTTTTGAAAACTTCAGCTGAGCTAGGGACGCCAAAGTGGACGTGCCTGCCCCCTACAAGGTTGCTTTACTACTACACTCAGATGAGGGTTCCCAAGTGTGGTTTGTGACCATCCAGGTTCCCCCAGGCTAAGGCCATGACCATAGACCGAGGCTGTGTTCCCTTCAGACCAGGGCTCCCAAAAGATCAGGTCCCCATGTTACTATAACCAAGTTCCCAGGCCAGGCTTGTAGACCTCTGCCCAAATCCTTCCTGCAACACCATCACCATGAGGCATGTGGGACACCCCACTCTCCCCTCCCCTATCCTCTCACAAGTATCGGGATAGGCAGACACCACTCCTGGGGAGTCATGTGTTGGTAAAATCCCAGTAGGGTCCTCTGTGGTGCAGTGGATGTGAGTAGGGGAGAGGGGAACTCAATGAATAAACTTCTCTGCGTCAACCTGGCAAGCCCTTGCCTCTGTCCCATCTCCTATCTTCTTCTTCCATGAGATATCTGGTCGGTGTGTTTTGATGTCTAGCTCCAAGTCTAGAGGGCACAGGGTCTTGAAGCCAAATTTTCCCTTTGCAGCCAGGGCAAGGAGCCTTGGGAAGGAGTAGAGTCTCCCCTCTGGCCTGAAAGGTCAGGCCTCCTGCTGGACACAGTCCAGGTAAGGAAGCTCCACTTGTGGAAAGGACATCCAGGGAGGTGGTGCTGAGACAGAGGGGCAGAAGAGACGGTTTTGGGAGGCCAGGGACTCTGGGGTGGAGGGCCACATTCAATGCTCTGAATGAGAACTGAAAACACACACACACACACACACACACACACACACATGCACATACTCATCCTCACAGCTCAGTCCCCCTCTCTCTCCTCCACTCTTTGACTCTCTGTGTCTCTGTCTTTCTTTGTCTCTGACTTGTCCTTGTCTCCTGTCTCTGTTTCGCTCTGAGTCGCTCACTGTCTGTATTTCCATCGCTCCTTGAATACCTCTGTCTCTGTCTCTCATTCTACTCCTCTCTGTCCCCCAGTCGAAGTCTGCCCATCCTTTTATTTCTGTCTGTCTCCATTTCTGTGTCTCTGTCTGTATCCAAGGATTCTCGCTCCCAAGCAATGCCAGGGCGACTCCATGGGAGGCGGGGCCAGGGACGCGCCTTGGGAAGAGGGAGGGCAGCCTACACCTTTAAGCGCAGGCGCGCGCGGAGTCTGCTCCTTTAAGCGCGGGCGCGTGCGCGGCCCTGGGTTCCCGGCGCGGAGGCCGCGGGAGCACCCGGCCCCGGCCTGCCCGCCCAGCCCCGCCCCGGTCCCCGCTCCGGCCCCCGCCCCGGCCCCGACGGGGGAGGGGTCTCTGAGAACGGCCCCTCCCCCCTGCACCCCCCTCGTGCGCTGCGCTGTCCTCAGCCCGCGTGTTCCTGTCTGTCCGTCTGTTCGCGCCCAGGCCTCGCCCCACCCCGGCCCCCGGGGCTTCCTGGCCATCCCCTCCCCCACCGCAGCCGACCCCTTCCCACCGGGCTAGGCTCTGCTACAGCCCGGGAAGCAAGCCGGTAGCCGCCGCCACAGACCCCAGAGCCTGCACCTGACATCGGGGGCCTGCACTCCGAGATTGGACCCAGAGATCTGGAAACCCTTGGGCTGGGACCCCACGACCTGGAGTCTGAACACCAATATCTGTGGCTGGAATCTCAATATGAGTCGCTGGGACTCCAGTATTTGGAACCTGAGCCCCAAGATTTGGAGTATGGACCCCAACATTTGGAGCCTGAACTTCAAGATTTGGCATCTAAAATCCCCAATCTGGAGCTGAACTCTGAATTCTGTGCCTGGGACCTTGAAATCTGGGATGGAATTCCTGTCTGTATCATGGAATCCATTGTCTGGGACCTGAACCCCGAGATTTAGGCTTCAATTTCCAAGATCTGAACCCTGGCATTCCAAGGGGCCTAAACCTGAGTTCCAGCCAGAAGTCCTTGCTGCAAACCTGAATGCTGACATTTGGAACTAAATACCTCCAAAACTTGACTTAGGACCCCAATAACTGAACCCGGCATCCCAGTACTGGATCCCAGGACTGATTAGGACTTAGACCCTAAACTCTCCATTTGGCTGTTTAGCAAACCAAGACTGGCGCTGGGTGACCCTGACTCAGACCAACCCAAAGGAGTGTCTGGGTCTCTAAAATTGGACTCTAGATGTCCAATATTTGGGGATCTGGGATTCCAAGTATCAAGGTCTAGAGACTGTGACAACATATATAAGCTGAGACACAACAGATAGTCCCTCTACTGAGGCCTTGGGGACAGGGAAGACATGACCAAGCATCCCCTCCAGAGCCCTGACCTTTGACCCCCTTGGAGCCTGAGGACTCTGCTCCCTGGGACAGCTTCAAGCTCAGGTAAGGCTGGGGGGAGGGCAGGGGAGGATCACTTCCATTGTGGAGTGGGACTGGAGGAACTTTGTGGCTGGGGGTGGAGGGAGGTAAGGACCAAGTATTCCTGGGAACCCTCAGGGTTTCTCCCAGAAACGGACATCCCCACCCATGGGTCTACCTCCAGTTCCTCTGCCTCAGACACTGGACATTTGGCCAGCCCTGCCCCTCTCCAATTTCTTCCCTAGTAGATGGCATCTCCAGGTCTGTGACCCACTTCCAGTAGATCTTCACCATCTATCTTGTCTGACCATCTCCAGCCACCTCCTTCTCGCCACTCCCACCCACCACACCTCTCTCTCTGTCTATCTTTGACACTACTGACCACTGCTCCCCTCTCTGGCCACCTCTGGCCACCACTCATCTCAATAACTCTGTCCACATCTATCTTTGATCGTCTTTAACAGCCCTTTCCACAGCCCCTCTTTCTGGCCACCCCTCTCTACTGCTTCACTCAGTGACCACCTTTGATATGTCTGTCTACTGTGCAGCTCAAATCATCTTGCATTGGCTCTCATGCTCTTGTCCAGCCCTGACTCTCAGCTGTGGCCTGTGACTCTCTGACCATCTTTGACATCTCTGTCTGCAGCTCTTCTCTCCAGCTGCTCCTGTCCATCTTTCTTCTCCAGATTCTCTATGCACGTTTTCTCTCTGACCATCTTTCACCATCTCCCTTGCCTTCCTCCCATCCCTGACCCTAACTTCCAGTTGACAACTATCTGACCATCTCTGGCCTTAATTGGCCACTTCTGTTCTCTGTTTCTGTGATCATTTCTTTTTTTTAATAAATTTTTATTTTCTTTATTGATTTTAGAGAGAGAAGGGAGAGGAAGAGATAGAAACATCGATGAGAGAGAACATTGACTAGCTGCCTCCTGCATGTCCCCCACTGGGGATCGGGCCCACAACCTGTGCATGTGCCCTGACCAGGAATCCAACAAAACCCGGTTGACCTCTTGGTGCATGGCAACGCTCAACCACTGAGCCACACCGGCCAGGCCCTATGATCATTTCTAACATCCCTGGCTGCCTTTCCTCTGTCAGGCGGTTGGAGGTCATGTCCTCACACCCATCGCCCAGCTGTCCTCTCCTTCTGACCACCTCTCTGGCTTTTGACCATTTCTAACCTTCTTTTACCATCTCTCCTGAATCTAACCACCCCTGACAACTTCCTCTCTCTTCGTCTACCACTTATCTTCTTGATCATCTCTAACCATCTCTCTTCTCTAGTTATATCCAACTATTTCTAATTATCCCACCCTGACCACCACCTCTCTTTGACCACCCTTGACCATCTCTCTGTGACCATGTCTAAAGCCCTCTTGCTTATCTTCTGCCCACCCTGACCAACCCTCTCATTCTCTGACCATCTCTTAACCACTTCCCTTTCGTCTGACCATCGTTGTTCATTTCTGTCCATATTTGCTCCCTCTGTCTTCCCATGATAGCATCTCTCTGGGTCTTTGACCATCTCCTCCAGCTTTGGATGATAATTCCTCTGACCATCTTTAACCAACTCCCTTCTCTCCTGGTGTTGGACCACCCCAGCCCCCTCTGGCACCCCTCTTCTGGCCTCAGCCTGCCCTAATGCCTCCCTTCTTCCCTGCAGGCCACCCCTGCCCGAGATGGCCGTCCTCCCGCTGCTCCTTTGCCTGCTACCGCTGGCCCCTGCCTCATCTCCACCCCAGCTAGCCACACCCAGCCCGTGTCCCCGCCGCTGCCGCTGCCAGACACAGTCACTGCCCCTAAGTGTGCTGTGCCCAGGGGCAGGCCTTCTGTTTGTGCCACCCTCGCTGGACCGCCGGGCAGCCGAGTTGCGCTTAGCGGACAACTTCATTGCGGCTGTGCGCCGCCGTGACCTGGCCAACATGACGGGCCTGCTGCATCTGAGTTTGTCACGTAATACCATTCGTCATGTGGCAGCCGGCGCCTTTTCTGATCTTCGTGCCCTGCGTGCCCTGCATCTAGATGGTAACCGGCTGACCTCACTGGGTGAGGGTCAGCTGCGCGGCCTGGTCAATTTGCGTCATCTCATCCTGAGCAACAACCAACTGGCAGCCCTGGCGGCTGGTGCCCTAGACGACTGTGCCGAGACACTTGAGGACCTCGACCTCTCTTACAACAACCTGGAACAGCTGCCCTGGGAGGCTTTGGGCCGCCTGGGCAACGTCAATACATTGGGCCTCGACCACAACCTGCTGGCTTCTGTTCCTGCCGGTGCCTTTTCCCGCCTGCATAAGTTGGCGCGGCTGGACATGACCTCCAACCGCCTGACCACCATTCCACCTGACCCACTTTTCTCCCGCCTACCACTGCTGGCCAGGCCCCGGGGCTCACCTGCCTCTGCCCTGGTGCTAGCCTTCGGTGGGAACCCCCTGCACTGCAACTGCGAGCTGGTGTGGCTGCGGCGGCTGGCGAGGGAGGACGACCTCGAGGCCTGCGCCTCCCCGCCTGCTCTGGGTGGCCGCTACTTCTGGGCTGTGGGTGAGGAGGAGTTCGTGTGCGAGCCCCCCGTGGTAACTCACCGCTCACCACCCCTGGCAGTGCCCGCTGGTCGGCCAGCCGCCCTGCGCTGTCGGGCAGTGGGGGACCCCGAGCCCCATGTGCGTTGGGTGTCACCCCAGGGCCGGCTGCTGGGCAACTCGAGCCGTGCTCGCGCCTTCCCTAATGGGACACTGGAGCTGTTGGTCACTGAGCCAGGTGATGGCGGCATCTTCACCTGCATTGCGGCCAATGCCGCTGGTGAGGCCACGGCTGCTGTTGAGCTAACCGTGGGCCCCCCACCACCTCCCCAACTAGCCAACAGCACTAGCTGTGACCCCCCGCGGGACGGGGATCCTGATGTCCTCACCCCACCTTCTGCTGCCTCTGCCTCCGCCTCTGCCAAGGCAGCTGACACTGGACCCCCTACTGACCGTGGCGTCCAGGTGACGGAGCATGGGGCCACAGCTGCTCTCGTCCAGTGGCCAGATCAGCGGCCTATCCCAGGCATTCGCATGTACCAGATCCAGTACAACAGCTCAGCTGATGACATCCTCGTCTACAGGTGCCGTGCCCTGGCAGTGGGCAGCTTGGGTGGGGGAGTGAGGTGGAGGGAGGGTTGGAGATATGCCTACTGATACCCAGGCTGCAGCACAGCTGAGAAATGAGGCTGCAAGGTCACAAAGGCAATCAGACAGCAAAGGTGAAATAAATCAGAGAGAAGGTAAAAAGAAATCTGGCAGCAATGGTAAAAAGAAATAGGGCAGCAAAAGTAAATAGTGACAAACATGTAAAGGAATTCAGGCAGCAAGAGTAAAAAATAACCAGGCCAGAAGAATAAAAAAGTCGGTGGAGGCGGGGGACAAATTTGGGGAGATACAAATTTAAGTAGTAGAGGTAAAGAGAAACCAGGTGTTTCCAGATGGCAGGGCTAGATACAAGACAGTCTGTAGGAAGAAGGTACCGTGATCACAGGGAAAATGAAATGAATCACCCCTTTTTTTTTTTTTTATCCTCACCCAAGGACATTTTTCCATTTTTTGTTCAGGTAGAGTGGGAGGGAGAGAGAGAAACATCGATGTGAAAGGGACACATCAAGTGGCTGCCACCCGCACAACCGACCAGGGCCGGGGACAAACTGCAACCGTGGTACGCGCCCTTAGTGGGAACCGAACCCGGGTCTCTCAGGACCGCAGGCCGACGCTCTAACCGCTGAGCCAAACCGGCCAGGGCTGAATCACCCCTTTTGCAAAGGAACGCAGGCCAGAGGTTTAAAGGAAAATAGGAAGGAAGCTAAATAGAGGCAAAGGCTTTGGGTTTGTGCAGTGTGAACTGCTCCACACGTTTGGGGTTCTTATATGGTGACATCTCAATTTTTGATTTTCTAAATCAAATTAAACCTACTTCAAGCTCCACCTGCTAGGTGAGCAGGGATGTTCAGTTTGCCACTGTTAGGGATTCTCCTCTCTTCTGTTGTTGCAAACCCCAAACCTGGGGCTTACACACCCCAAGAGGTGGGTCAGTACAATTTCTCCCCCGGAGCTGGAAAGTACTTGGGACATCTGCTGTGGCCACACGTAGTCCGTAGTGGAGGCTCTGACCTGGGCGCTGCTCTCACCCAGTCCTACCTTGCATGGATAGCTGTGGATGGCTCCCTGTTCTCACTGCCAGGCTGGGCCAAGGGTGCAGTCCCCAAGGTCCGGCTGCAGAGGACTGGGCTTCCCAACACCTGAGGTCTGCACCTTGTAAACCCAGCGTCTGGGTCCTGTTTCCTTCCCCAGAGGCCCACACCCCCAAGAGATCATCACTTGATCTTTCCAGTCCTGGAAATCTCATGAGCTCATTCCGCTCCCTTTCACGGACAGTACTCAGTAGATTCCATGGAGGGTCCGCACCTGAAAACCATACCAATCCTGTCCGCTGTGCCTGGCAGGGGATGGGACAAATGCTCTCCTAGATAGTCACCCTCCCAGAGACAATCACAGTTTCCTGTACCTTCTCTATCAAAGCAGTTTAAGAATATAGCCAATTATAAAGCAAATCTCCAACAGGGTGCTCTGCTACTAAAGGAAATATAGTGGAATTGGGTGCCAGGGATCAAGAGAAACTAGGCAGCAGAGATAAAGGAATCAGTAGGCAGAGCTGGAAAGAAATAAGGCAACAGAGAAAAAGAAATCCGTGGTGGAGGAGGCACATCAGTTTAATGAGAATGGTATCAAATGACAGGACTCACTGGAAAGCAGGCTCCAGATATAATAAGGCAACGGGGCTCAGAAGACGTTCATTGGCAGGTTAGAAGGAAATGGGGCGCAGCGATTTGGAGGAACCAGACGGTTATGCCAGGTGAAGAGAAATCGGGTACAGGCTGGAGGAAGGTCAGACGAGAACATACTCTAGACAGTGGTTCTCAACCTTCCTAATGCTGCGACCCTTGAATACAGTTCCTCATGTTGTATGTGGGCGGACCCGCCTGGAGACTTTCCGATTGGTCTTAGGTGACCCCAGTGAAAGGGTCGTTCAACCCTCAAAGGGGTCACGACCCACAGGTTGAGAACCATTGCTCTAGAGGCACACTGAGAGGTGGAATTAGAGGGAAACTGGATAGGGGGTTCGGCGGAAATGGGAATTGGGTTACAAGGAGGTCAGACGGTGAGGACACAATTGGGCGGTGAGCTGGAGAGATTTCTGGCAGCAGGGCTAGAAGGAACGCAGGTGGTGGGCTGGTGGGAAATTGGGTGAGGGACTGGAGGAACTTGGGCAGTGAGCAAGGGGAGAATAGGGTGGGGGGACCAGAGTGAAATCAGGCAGTGGAGTGGAGTAAAATTGGGCAGGCTGGTGGGCAGTGGGTGGCAGTGCAGGATGGAAACCAGGCAGCTGGGTGTAAAGGGAAACAGGACTAGGGGACGCAGGCGGTGGGCCGCAGAGAAACGGCGGTGGGGCTGGAGTGAACCGAGGCAGCAGAGCAGAGGGGGCGGCAGTGGCACTGGAGGGAATTTGAGCATGGGGACTAGTGGGAGATGAACCTGGGGAACTGGAGAGGAACGTGACTGTAGTTAGCCGGTGGGCTGAAAAAACTAGCTGACAGACTGGAGGGATATCAGGCCACTGCCTGGGTGTCAGGCTACAGGGAATTCCAGCGTAGGTTAGAGTGAAACGAGGCAGCTAGGCTGGGGGGAAACTTCTAGACTGGAGTGGAGGCAGAGTGCCTAGTGGGTGCTAGGCCACTGGAGACCTGACCCCTACCTGCCTGTCCCTCCAGGATGATCTCAGCCGACAGCCGCTCCTTTCTGTTGACGGACCTGGCGTCAGGCCGCACCTATGACCTGTGCGTGCTCGCGGTGTACGAGGACAGCACCACTGGGCTGACGGCCACACGGCCCGTTGGCTGCGCCCGCTTCTCCACAGAGCCCGCACTGCGGCCCTGCGGGGCCCCACACGCACCCTTCCTAGGCGGCACCATGATCATCGCGCTGGGTGGTGTCATCGTGGCCTCAGTACTGGTCTTCATCTTCGTTCTGCTTATGCGCTACAAGGTGCACGGCGGCCAGCCCCCTGGCAAGGCCAAGGTTTCTGCACCCGTCAGCAGCGTCTGCTCCCAGACCAACGGCGCCACACCAGCTCTGTCTGCTCCTGAGCCCTCCGTGCCCAGGGCCCACACCGTGGTGCAGCTGGACTGTGAGCCCTGGGGGCCCAGTCACGAACCCAGGGGACCCTAGCCTCATGCCCACCTCTGTGGCTCTTCTGGTCCAAGGGGTGGCAGGACCCAGGCACCCCGTGGGACCTGGCCTCAGACTCACCAAAATGTTCACGGTTTTTAAAACTGATGGGGAAGGTGTCAGGGGCACTGGGGAGCACAACAAGAAAGTCTTATTTTTCTAAGCTTGGGCCTGAGCCCTTGCCCTTGTCTCTGTCTGTGGGAGTTGGGGGGGATCATGCAGGGGTCTGGAGCTGGGGATGCCTTCTCTGGGGAGAGACCCACCCAGTTTTGTCTTGGATGTGGCTGAGGGTAGTCATCCATTCAGTCAACAGACATTCCTTGAGTGTTGCCTCTGAGCCCGCCCTATGATGAGTGATGCTGTGGTGACCCTGACAGCCCCAAGCTCTGCCCTCAGACAGTGGTAACGCAGCGTGAGCAGAGACGTGGTAATGAGGGAGGCCTGGGAGATTGTGGGAGCCCAGAATCTCAGCCTAGGGTATAGTCAGGGAGGGCTTCCTGGAGGAGACGTGTGACCTGAGAATAACATCTGAAGGAGATAATTGGCCAAGAGCAGAGGAAAAGGTGTTCCAGGCAGAGGGCACAGTACAACCAAGGATTGAGTCAGTGCTGTTCACTGGGGGTACTTGGTAGAGCTGAAACAGAAGGGGTAAGCGGGGTCCAGGCTTTCCAGGCTGCGGAGCTCCGACTCTGGCCTGATAGTATTGGGAAGCCATGGAAGATTCTGTGCAGGGGAGGTCACAGTCAGGTTTGGGCTTTAGGACGATCCTTCTAGTCACCATGAGAAGGTGGACCAGAGGGGAAGACAAGCAGGAACTCGAGTGGAAGCCAGGGTAGGGCCCTGGGTGGGTAAGTACAAGCTGGACCAGGGCAGGGCTGGGGAAAGCAGGGTTGGGTGAGAGACGTTCCGGAAGCTGAGTGGACGAGCTGTGGAGCTGAAGAACCGCGGGGCAGGAACGTGCAGGATGAGGCCCAGGGCTCTGGCCAAGGAGGGAACAGTGGAACTGCTGATACAGGACCAGGGAGAAGGGGCAAATTTGGGGAAGATGCCGAAGCCAGTGTGGGACGTGGTAGGTGTGGAGCACCCAGAGGACAGCCAGCGGGCCTCGGGACCGCTGGTCTGAGGCAGACGCTAGGGACAGAAATGACGTCCCTGTCAGTAGTGATGGGGAACTGAGCCAGCAGGGTGGTGAGACAGCCTCTGTTTGGGACTTTCCATATCTAAGGGACAAACAAAAACCTAGACTAAAAAAAGACTAAACAGGAGCAGCAGGTGGAGGGACAGAATGAAGCAAACCAGGCCCAGGTGATTATTGTGTTTAAGGATATCAAGGCCACAGTGAGAGCGTGTTCGGGGTTCAGTTGGATGGGTGCCGGCCTCAGCGGATTTGAGAGCAGGAGATAACGGTGTAGACAGGGAGTGGAGACCCACGATTCCGGGGCCTGGAGCCTGGGTCGGGTTGATCTGGACCTTTCTGCCCCACATCTCTTCAGGGCTGGTTCTCGCTCTATCTTGAGCTGCCCTAGGGCTCCCTCAGACACCAGGAGACTCCAAGACCAAACCCTGGGCCTTGGAAAGGTCAGGCCTCGTTGGAGATCCAGGATTGGGATTGGCAATAAAAGGAATAGTGCTCCTTGACCTCAGGCTACCTCTAGTGCTGGGTCCAAGGCAGAGATGTGGAGGGAACTTGGGTCCTGTCAGCCTTCCCTGGAGTGATGCTGAGGTGAGGAGCAGGGTGAGGAGGGCCAAGACCAGGCAGGCCATTCTTGTGATGGGGACGTCACAACTTGGTCGGTGGGTGTAGGCCTTGGAAATGCTCTTCCATTGGCCATGGGAACAACCTGAGTCCCAGGACTCCCAAGTCCTCCAGCAGCATCATTAGGTCCTTCCTCGTGTCCTTGGGTGGCTGAGGTCAGGAGCAGCCATCAGGGACAGTGAGGTGCTTTGGGGGGAAAGGCCTAAGGAGGAGGAGGTTTGGATACCTAGAGCCAGTTGCTGCCGTGAGGGGGGGGCCAGAGCGCACTGTTCCTCAATCCTGTTTTTAAAATATTAATTTATTGGCTGCCTACTTGTGCTACGTGCTGGGGATTCAATAATGAACAGATGCAGGCCTGTTGTGCCCTCACATACCTCACCATTTGGTGGAGAAACAGATGTTACATAATCACACAAGCAAGTGTAAGCATCTGGGATGACAAGTGGGGCCGGGCAGGAGAGAGACGTGGAACTGTGAGACCCTGGACCCTGGACCCTGACCCAGGAAGAGGTTGAGGGAGGCTCCCTGGAGGCAGTGATGCCCCAGCTGAGACGTGAAGGATGATCCGGTTGGAGTTAACTACACGGGGCGGAAAGGCAGTCCATGCAAATGAAACAGCATGTACAGAAGTCCAGGGGCGAAGGGATGCACGGTGAGTAAAGGGACTGGAAGCGGCCATGTGGCTGAAGGCGGTGGGGAAAGGAAGTGGCGCCGTGTTGAGACGGGAGGGTGAGAAGGGGACAGGTGATGCTGGCCGCTGTAGGCCACTGGGAGGAGTCTGGATTTTATTCTGAGTGGCATGAGAAAAGAGTTGTCCTCTGTGATCCTAAAGAAGCTCCAGTGGCAGGTCTGTTTGTGTGATGGGACAAGAGAGAAGCAGGGAGACCAGAGAGGAGGCTGCTGCAATGGTCCAGGCAGAAGGCTGACCCAGCCCAGGGTGGATTGGAGAGAGATGAGACCAACTCACCAGAAGCCTCCATCCCCTCTGCAGGTGAGGACAGTGTGAGTCACTGTCCAGCTACCTGGTTTGCAGGCAAGATTGCAAAGAGATTAAGGAAGAAGAGCTGTGGGACCCTGGTATCTGATATCGTGGATCCATTCCTTAGATGGGGGAGCTGACCTCTCTGAAGCATAGGAATTGACCTTTTCCAGGTCCGAGTACCAGGCAAACAGTGGACCGAGGCTCTGCAAGGTAGAGGCTGTGGCTGATGGTGGTGGGGGATGTGGACACAGGAAATTCGAGCCCCAGAGCGGGGCACACCTAGTGGTAGATTATTGCATGTTTGGAAGCAGGGAGGCATATGGGGGCAGGCCGGTCTCTGTAGCATGGCCCCTCTCCACCTCCCACACTGGGTGCCTGGACCATCTCCCACCTCCATGCAGAAACAGTAAGAGTGGACAAATGGTCATATGTGTCTAGAATTTAAAGTTGAGATGTAGCTTGTCCAGCTGAGTCCACCCAGCCAAGTCCACCAATTTGCTGAGCACAGGGAGTGCCACTCCTGCCTGTCCTAGTCTGGCTTTGCAAATGCCCTGCACATTTTTGAGACCAGCTTTCCTGGTGCCAGAGTGCCAGGTTACTGGAGCATTTGTTTTTTTTTTTTCAAGGTGACTAGTCCTGATACCAGGATTCCGAGTGCCGGCCAATCCAATCCAGGCTTCTGGGTGTGGCTAAGCCGACAGGTGGGGTGTCTGGGCATACTTGTGGTCCCTTGCAAGGCCTCAGCTCATGCCAAGCTTTTGCAGCTCTTTACATGGGCACATATGTGAAAGAATGAGATAAAGGGGTCCTCTTCTGGGTTGAACTTGAGCATGGCTCCTGCCTTTGATTCCTCTCTGGTGCCTGTGCCCTTTCATGCTCCACAAAGCAAGGATAGGTGTCAGTGCTCAGTGTCACCCTGAGCTGTGCAGAGTAATGCTGAGAATGACATAGCGGTGACCAGTGCAGCCTCAGACCCTGCCCTCAGAGTCCCAGTCCAGCAGAGGAAATAAGATACTCACCCAACAATGACAACCCGGAGTGGCCAGGGCTGGACTGGGGAAAGCGCAGGTGAGAATGATTGGGGCCTGTTTAAGCCCAAGGAACTATGGGAGTCCAGCAGGGGCTCCTAACAGCCTAGGATAGGAGTTGAGAAGAGTCCAAGATTTCCTAAAGGCAGGCCCGGCTTCATGGCAGTGTGACCTGTGCAGTGACACAAAGCCCCACTTTTAGAAGGACCCTGTGCTTGGTTGAATGTCCTGCTGTCGCCATTGTGAAATTCTTAATGATTTTTTAATAAGGGACTCCACATTTTCATTTTGCAGTGGGTCTTGCACTTATGGGTTATACAGAGCGCCAGGAGATGAAAGGGTCTTCCAAGGAGACAGAACACTGTGTGCAAAAGACAAGAAAGGAAGACAGAGCACGGTGCATTTGGAGAACTGGTCCAAGTTCAGTAGCTGGAGCAAAGCTGGAGAAGGAGGAAGGTGATAGTTGAGCTCACAAAGTGGGCCATCGCCAGGTGCCAGGCTGAGGAGCTGTGACTCCATGCCAAGGGCCCTGGAGAGCCAAGGGGAGGGACTGGGTCAGGTTCAGACTTTAGAAAGATCCATCTGGCCCTGGCCGGTTTGGCTCAGCAGTTAGAGTGTTGGCCTGTGGACCAAAGGGTTTGATTTTGGTCAAAGGCAAGTACCTGGGTTGCAGGTTCAATCCCCAGTCTTGGTCAGGGTAGTGTGGGAGGCAACCAATGTGTCTCTCTCACATCGATGTTTCTCGCCCTCCCTCTCTTCCACTCTATCTAAAATCAATGGAAAAATATCCTCAGGTGAGGATTAACAAAAAAAAAATAATAATAATCCATCTGGCTACAGTGGGGAGGGTGGCTGAGGGCACATGGCAAAGAACAAGTTTGAGTTGGGGACTCAGTTGACTGTGGAGGGAGTTGGGAGTGTCTGGCTTCTGTGGACAGCCTTATGAAGAACCCTGAATGCCCGGGTGACAGACACCTCAATGAACCAGGAGACCGGCTGGGAGACCCCAAAACCACAGGATGGAACCACAGCTTCACTTTCACTTGAAGACTTTCACTGTTGAGGGTGGGAAGGGGGGTAACAAGGGTAAGTTAAAGGGTGTCACTGGTAAGTACTTGAAAATCTTTTTATCTGAGAACTCAATGGATAGACTAGGGGAGGTGAATGCAAAGTTGGCAAGAACGTAGAATATAAATGTGAGACCAAAGAACTTGATTCTGGGTATATTCAACTCTGTGGAACCCCTCGGGAGCACTTCCCTCTCTCCCCAATCCTCTGGATAAAATACCAGTTCTTTGGGAACCTCCTCCACAGCCCTAAAGGCTGTGGCCCCAGGGCTGGGAACTGACCCCCTTTCTGCTTCTCCGCTCACCTCCTTCTGGGGCATCACCCCTCTCCACATGCT